TAATCACCTCCATTTAATAAAATCTGAAAATGTCTGCTTATTAAAGAGGGGGCTGACATTTATTTTTTCTTTTCCATCCCAGGCATGCTAAAACAAAAAATTTTTTTTAAATTTTTGATTATTATGGTGAATGAGATTGTACTTAAAGAGTATCTTACCTAAATTGTCTTAACTTACTTTATTGATAGCTGAACAATCATTATAAATGACTTCCAGTAAGGGTTTCCTAGAGTTCAAAGAGTATGACCTAGATGTAGTTTCTCTAAGTTTTGACTTCTCTCTCCTGCAGTTCTATAAGGGGAGGCTCACTCGGACCCAGCCACGTCCAAAAAGAGCACGTTGAGGGCCCAGAATTGCCGGCAGCATCCAGTGGTTCGTCCTGATTGGACAGGCTTAATTAGAATGGGTCCCCACCCATCACTACACCCACAGTGATTGGCTTAGACAGAATCATTTGCCTTCCCTGGGAACCAATCAGGGCAATCCACATGGCTAAAAAAGGAAAAGAGCACCTTTAGCTGCTCATCCCAGAGACAGAAGAAAAGTGGCTGGTGGCTGCAGATAACATCATTAAAAAGAATACATGTTCATTGTACCGTGTTTCCCCAAAAATAAGACAGGGTCTGATATTTATTTTTCCTCAAGATGACACCCTAGGGCTTATTTGCAGGGGATGTGCTATTTTTTTTAAGTATGGTACGACAATCTGCATTTATTCAAATATAGTGAAGTTGCCATTTTCAGGAACATCATCCTCTCTCTCCAAACCCCGAATGCCATCCTGAATGTCTTGCGACTCTGTTTCCTTTAGAGCCACCGGCCCCGATCTCTCCTGTGGAGCACTAGAGCTGTCACGGGGCGGATGAGAAGGGCTGCTCGTGTTCTTTCCCGCTCCGCCATGACACGCATGGGTTGTGCAGACGCTGCGCAGCCACGCCCGTCACTAGGGCTGATTTTCGGGGTGGGGCTTCTACTGCGTACATGCTTAGAATTCCTGCTAGGGCTTATATTATGGGTAGGTCTTATTTTGGGGGAAACACGGTACATGGTTTTATATATTAACCAAAACAACCACCACAAAAATCCCCAAGTGCCTACTGCATGCGAGGTGCTGTGTTCATAGGCGTGCAGAACAATGACTAAAACATGGATTTTACCGTGAAGGAGCTTTTATAGTCTCTAGGTGCGAAGTGTAAGTCCAACAGGGAAGAAGTCACAGAAAAAGCTAATAAGCCTCACAAACCACAGAAGATCACAAAGCTGATCCGTCCTACAGAACGGCAGACAACCAAAGTTTACAAGAACTGGAATTATCCAGAAAGGGTGAAGTCATATGCATTCTATTTTCTATGTAAAAGGGTGCAATTCACTGCAGGAATCTGCCCTCTAAGAATGTTTTCTTTTTAATAAACTTTAACATTTTAGAGAATTTCAGTTATTTAAAAATTAACATTTTTGGCATATCTGAGTTTCCTCCTAATTCCAGATAAATGAAAGATGACAACAATAACAAATAAATCACCATGGTTTCTATAACCAATCATGTTAAAAGAGTTTACTGACAACATAAATGTAGAATTTTTTAAGCACCTACATTCCATCATTTCTTGCCTCTTTTCCAACATATTTTCCTACCTTGGATTTTTAAATAGTACTACATTATTTTTAAATAGTACTGCATTATTCATGCTAAGTTATTATTTTTTTTCCTCTAGTCTGTCTAGGGAACTACTATGTATCTTTCAAGATCAAGTTCGAATGTAAGTTTTTGGAGGCATTCCCTAAACCAGTGCCTATCTGCAGCCCTAAAATTCAATATTGTCTATTACAGCACCCTCACCCTAGTATGTGGACTAAGACAACTGGATCTAGATAGAATAGAAACCTAAGAAATTAAATCAGTGTTATTGCTGTAGGACTTAGAATCGGGAGAGTAAATGTCTTTGCTAGCTGTCATTTCTCTTCTGCAGAATTCTTGTACATGCAGAAATATCGTGGTAGCAAACCATGCAGCTCTCTTAGGCCAGAGGAGACAGACAGGGACCAGTGGAACCATGCTGACAGGGAGGGCACATGGGGTGTTTCGTAGCGTACAGCACACTGCTCGGCACCTAAATCCCAGAGGGTTGCACATCGAGTAGCTCAACAGTCTGACCGACATTGCTGGGATTCCGAGAACCTGAAACTCTTGATTTCTTGGCTTGGAAACTTATTTGCAATTACTGACCACAGAGACAGCTCCCCTGAAAATTTCTTTTGCCAGAGAAGATGTAACTGGGGGTTCAAAAGACAACCCCCTGAGTCTTTGTAAATAAGGAGAAGTATCCTCTTGACTTAAAACGCTTTCCTTTGCTCTGTTGACTTAGATGAAAGCAAACCTACGAAACTGTGCAAATTCCACCGTCGCACCCCTTTTAACTGAATCGTAACCGTTACGGCACAAGGAGTGTCGCGGGCAGGATGATGTTGGGCAGGAGGATACCAGCCACCGCATGGGACAGCTGTGGCTCTGTGTTTCCAGGTGACAGGAGTGGGGGTGCCCACTGGGTTCTCAGCAGCCACACTGGTTGAATTAACCCAGTCTCTTGGGGCCCATTCATTCATTCATTTGTCCAGGCTGCACGTAACACCAAGTGTAAACTTCTGCACCCACCTGATTCAGGTGTCCTGTCTGCTTCTCCTAACACACCACTCTCAACATGGCAAAGTAGAATCACAAATGTCCCCACTTAATGCCGAGCCAAGTGTACACCCTGGATGTAGCTTCCATAAACCCTCCAAATCCAGAGTAGACCACTGGCCCAACTCTCCGACAAATTAGACCAAATGCATACTTTAAATTACATGCTACTTGGAGTAGCGGGAATGGAACTGCATCCTCTTCTACCGGGTTTTCGAGGCCTCAGGCCCTCTGCTATTCCTTTTTTTTTTTTTTTTTTTTTGAGATAGAGTCTCGTGATAGACTCTACTAAAGAATAGAAAGAAATTAATTGGCCAACTAAAAATACATAGAAAAAATGAGCCGGGCATGGTGGCGCATGCCTGTGGTCCCAGCTACTCGGGAGGCTGAGGCAGGAGGATCGCCTGAGCCCAGGAGTTTGAGGGCTCTGTGATCTAGGCTGATGCCACGGCACTCTAGCCTGGGCAACACAGCAAGACTTTCTAAAAACAAACAAACAAACAAACAAACAAAAACAAAAACACTCTGAGGTATTTTAGCCAGGGCATAGTACTTTGATTCTGCCTTTTATCATTACCTGTTGGGCTTACCTTTTGGGTTTTTGTTTGTTTGTTTTGTTTCTATTTTCTCTTCTGACTCGCAAGTTTAGTGTGCCTTGGATTGAGAATAATTTTAAGCTTCTTTTTTTTTGTTTTGGCCCTGTGCGTTTACTTCAGCCACGGTGGTAGTGGCTTTCTGGCTCCATTCATCCATCCCGGACGCCAGATTGCAACACTCAGACTCATGTCAGCGTCGGCTCGTTTGGATGGTGGAACTTGGGAGAGGGAGGACTGCACAGGTACACGCGGATCAGGCTGTGGTGACGTGCAGACGAGGTCACCGGCCTGTGGTGGCTTCACCCCTCTCTGTACGTACAACTCTCTAGTCTTAGAAACCATGACGTAAACCTACACTGCCCAAGACGATGTCGAGTCTGCATTCTTCTCCCAAGAAGTCTCGTTTTCAATAATTCCTGGAGTACCTCCTAAGGTATAGATTGACAAGGGCTAAAAAAAAAAAAATGGCATAATTTCCAGCTTTGGAAGAGACAAAAAATTTTGAGGGATAGGAACTCTAACAGTTAATTTTACGTTCTACTTGACTGGACCATGGGGTGCCCAGATATTTGGTCAAACATTCTGGGTGTGTCTGTGAGGGTGTTTCCAGATGAGATTTGAATCAGAAGCTAAGAAAAGCAGATTGCCCTCCCTTGGGTGGGTGAGACTCATCCAGTCTTTTCAAGGCTAGAATAGAATAAAAAGTTTGAATAATAGAGTGTTCTTTTTCTCTTTTATTTCTTTCTCTCTCTCTCTCTCTCTCTCTCTCTTCCCCTCCTCTCTCTCTCCTTCCTCTCTCCTCTCTTCCCTTCCTCTCTCTCTCTCTCTCCCCCTTCCCCCTCTCTCCTCTCTCTCTTCTTTCTTCCCTTCCCCCTCTCTCCTCTCTCTTCTCTTCCCCTCCTCTCTCTCTCTTCCCCTCCTCTCTCTCTCTTCCCCTCCTCTCTCTCTCTTCCCCTCCTCTCTCTCTCCTCCCTCTCTCTTCTCTCTTCCCCTCTCTCTCTCTTCTCTCTTCCCCTCTCTCTCTTCTCTCTTCCCCTCTGTCTCTCTCTCTTCTCTCTTCCCCTCTGTCTCTCTCTCTTCTCTCTTCCCCTCTGTCTCTCTCTCTTCTCTCTTCCCCTCTCTTTCTCTCTCTTCTCTCTTCCCCTCCTCTCTCTCTTCTCTTTCTCTCCCTCCTCTCTCTGCCTGCCCTCAAGCTGGGACATCAGCTAGCAGACTTGGACATAATCTCATGCAAGGAAGTGTCTGTTTACTTAAGTCCATATTTTATACAAAGAGATTATAGAAATGGCCAGCACTGCAGTTACTCAGATAATCTCAGTATAAACCAAAGTGACTCCACTAAAATACATTAAAAAAAGAAGACCACCAAACAAAGAAGGAAGGAGGAAAAGAAGAAACCAAGGTCTGAGCAAGAGGAGGGTCTTGATAAAGGGCTAGCTGCTGACTCGTGTCTTGAGCCACAGGTTAAACGAGGCAAGTCACATAAGGCGATGACTATAACGCATAGAACTCAGTGCACATTTCCTATCACCACCGTCTTCATCATCCTCTTTGCCATCGCTGTGATGGCATTACTGCAAATCAGGTCCCGGCCGGTGCCCGTAGCGGGCTTCGGGTTCACGTCCGCGCGCACAGAAACACACAGGCGAGAAACACCCGCGTCGCCGAACACTGACGACTGTTCGCGCACCCCAGGGAGGTGAAAGAAGACGAGTGGAACTCACGTTGAGCTGAAGCTCGTCCGTCCACTGCCCGATCAGACGGTAGCCAGGGCTGGTGGTGTTTGTCGCCTGGTACTGGAAGATGTCGTAGCGCCCTGGGGCATCCCCGTTCTTGTTGAACATCACTGGCGTGCCCGCGCTGCCTGGGGAAGACAAGAAGGAAGATTCCGGAGTCAAACGGGACCCCTGCCACTTCCCGTGGGCGGGCTGACGGTCTGCAGACCTGCCCAGGCGCAAGGGAGGGAGTGGACACCCGCTGTCTGTGGGGCTCCCCCAGAACGGCCCCTGCGATGCACAGCGGGTTATCAGTGTGGCCTGTGGGTGCTCATGGTAAGGGGGTGGGAAGAAAACTCCCCCCCCTTTGGCATAGTTTTGATATTTCTCAATATTTCCAAAATGTTATTCTAATCTTATCCCCCTTTCTGAGGAATAAAAGCTATATGCATTATCTTTTTTCAGAGACAGCCTTAAGTTTTATTATTATGCTGCTGTTAAATATGATGATGATTATTTTAGTTTCCATCTGACACCAAATGGTGGTCAGTAAAGAACAATTTCAAAAACATAAATTGATTTTAAAAGGAGGTGGTGATTTTTTAAAAAATTAGCAAACAAGCAAAAAAGTTTATTTAAATACGTGCTTGCCTACTCATTCCATTTAAAATATAATTTTTGTTTTTTGCTGATTGCTTATCATTTTCTTTATATGATAACCCGTATAAAATTGTTTATAGTGTAGTTCAATAAATATTGGTTTCTTTCCCAACCTCTCATTTGGGTCACTGTGAAATGTCCACTTTAAAACACAACCAGGCTGGGTGAGGTGGCCACGCCTGTAATCCTAGCACTCTGGGAGGCCGAGGTGGGCAGATCGCTCGAGGTCAGGAGTTCGAGACCAGCCTGAGCAACAGCGAGACCTTGTCTCCATTATAAATAGAGAGAAATCAATTGACCAACTAATATATACAGAAAAATTAGCCAGGCATGGTGGCACATGCCTGTAGTCCCAGCTACTCGGGAGGCTGAGGCAGGAGGATCGCTTGAGCCCAGGAGTTGGAGGTTGCTGTGAGCTAGGCTGACGCTACGGCACTCACTCTAGCCTGGGCAACAAAGCGAGACTCTGTCTCAAAATAAAATAAAATAACACACAACGAATTATGCTGGCAGAAATAGATACCGGAATTAATTTTAAAATACTAAATGCATTCAGTGTATAAGTGCATACAGTCGGATGCACGAAAGATCCTTAATATTACCTACACGGAACAATTAGCAAACCATACACAAAGAGTGCAAGATCTGGGTTTTGGTTAGTTTCGGCAACAGTTACAAAGGCAGAAAAAAAAATGTTCACTAACTGCATGCTATTTCTTTCATGTTCTCGTGGAAACAGAAAAGATACCATTGGCATCATGGTATATATAGCTGATATCTGTCGGTAGGTTAATACTGAATCAATATTCCCAGCAGAAAACAATACTCTATTTCTTCCAATGTACCAGGAAATTTATACGACATTTACAAACTGTAACAGAATCACTAAGAACGGGAGTTCACTGTACTATTTTTTTTTTTTTTTTTTGGAAGGGCAGTGGAGTAAGTTTTAGGTAACGAGCATGAAGCACTTCTGGTAACTGCCCAGGTACAGTCATGGTGGCAGAGCTCTGAATCCGGTGAGCAAAGCCCCATTTAGCTCCTGTGGAATTTGAGCCAATGTGAACATTTGCACGAATGACACGAACAACAGGAAAGAAAAAGCCAGGCATGTGCGGTGACCTGGTCGGGCCAGGCATGTGAGTTAGGTCCGGTGCAGTCCTGCGTGGCCCGAGGAGGGACGCTCAGACACGGTGGGAAGTTCTTTATTCACAGATCCCAGAGAGAAGAGGACATCACACCCCACACAGGGGCAACGGGAACAGGAGGTGGGGAGCAAGAGGAGGAGGAAGGGAAGGGGACTGGGGGGCAAAGCCTTTATTGGGGTTCAGGGCATCACGTAGATGTGTTGGATTTGTCCATTTGAAGAGAGCGAGGCTAAGGCGGGAACTTGGGGCTTACGCTGTTGGGGCTCACTATGCTCAAACAGAGTAAAGTGGTCATGTGGTACAGGGCACAGGGCCTTACCTCTCTGCCACCCCAAAGCCCAGAACTGGGTGGAAACTGCTCCAAGAAATGCAGATTAAGGGAGATGACACAAGGAATGAGACAGACGTGGAGGCAGCAGCTATAAGGACTAGAGCTATGGCGGCATCCTAGCTGGGTGGGAGAAAGTACACTTAAAATAGTCAAAAAAAAAAAAAAAAAAAGGATGCCAACCCTTGAGGTTGAGAGTGAACCACACGAGGAATCACTCAACCCAAGAATGAAGTTAAAGAGCTGGGCGCGGTGGCTCACGCCTGTAACCCTAGCACTCAGGGAGGCCAAGGTGGGAGGATCGCTTGAGCCCAGGAGTTCGAGGCTGCAGTGAGCTAGGCTGATGCCGCTGCACTCTTAGCCCTGGCTATGTCATTCATTCATTCATTCATTCATTCATTCATGGATGGATGGATGGATGGATGGATGGATGGATGGATAGATAGATAGATAGATAGATAGATAGATAGATAGATAGATAGATAGAATTAAACAATGAAGTTAAAATAAGGGTCCAGAAACAGAGACGATGCCTTGCACAACAAGATGTACAAAGTTGCAATTAATTCTGTGCTGGGGGTTACCTTGCTGGAAGACAGGATGCAACATCACCAGGTAGAACACACTAACAGGAAAGCAACTGGACACCATCCTACAATCATCAGTCGCAGGATTTTATGACACCATTGTATATTAAAAAAAAAAAATAGAAAAAATCAGCGCTTGCGGTAGGCTAAATAATGACGACATAGGCGCATGCCCTAATGCCCAGAACCTATGAATGTTACCTTATATGGCAAAAAAAAAAAAAAACCATCTAGATTCCACATGCTATTAGCAAATAAACATCCTGTCATTTTGCAGGAAGATATTAATATCCAGACACTCACCTTTCTTCTCTTTCACATTGCACACTGGGATTCATGTTGTGCTTTGCCATAATTCTACCGTTTCTATGCATTAAATAATACGACTTCAGCTTTCCATAGTCTTTGCAAGGAGAGACTTGCAAAGTCAGAGGATCTCAAGTGCACGGGCCAAATGCTCATCGGAACCGGCCACGTTGCCTCATACTTCCCGTCTTCCAATCTTTGTTAGGAGAAATGATTCTTGTCCTGCCCTTTCTGTTCTCATTAGAGCTCAGGGTTTTTTTCTTTTGTTTTGTTTTTTTTTATTTTTTTAATTAAGGCAGAAGAGCTTTTTATTTTTTTTTTAATTAAGGCAGAAGAACTGAGTACTTTATCTAAGTGATGACCTGTAATAATAGCATCGTGTGTGCAGCTTTGACTTTTTTTGATGGATTCTATTAATAGAACGCAACCGGCTTATTCTTTCCAGGTTTTTATCCCCACACAAATCCTATTTAACAGCCTCCCTGACTCTCTTAAAAGAGAAAGAAGTGGCATTGTGTTCAATGAGCTCTGTATTAAAAAAAAAAAAAAAAATCAAAGAAGTCCAGAGATGAGAAAGAAGTTATCAAAGGGGGAAGCGATCACCCACAGAGATATCTACAAGGTAGCAGGGCAGGAATGCAGGTACACTAAGCCAGAGGAAACAGGACCACTTGAAAAGATGGGAAACAGGCACGAGAGGAAGGATGCTCGAATGCATTCAAGCCTGAGAGCCCTCGTACCAATTGAGCGTATCTGAATGACATTCCTTTTCCCAGAGAAGGACTGGGGTGTTCAGATCTCCCACATGACAAAATGGCCCTCTGCATCAAAGTACTGACCCGACAGTTTCTCTGTTCTCATTTCACCACCGCACGTGCAGATTCCTGCAACGCTGCATTGCCTTGTGTTCCTGCGATCGGTGTCCGCTCAGCAAGCCCCCTGAATTTCAGCTCAAAACAGTGACCACGCGCATCTTGCGTCTGTCCGGGGCCGCTGGGGAGAGCAGCCCTCCAGTCTCCTCACGTCACCTGGGGCAGCTTGACGCTCTCACGTCTGACCGTTGAGGCTGGTTGTCAGGTGGGAGGGACCTCAGCTGGGGTTGTGGCCAGAACCTGTGGCCACCACGTGTGGCCTTTCAGTGTGGCCTCTTGACCTCCCCATCGCATGGCAGCTGAGTTCACGGTGCAAACATCCAGAGAGAACCAGGCAGAAGCCATTTCAGATTTCAAGGCAGGAGGCGTAGATCTCACCTCTTGATGAAGGATATACCCAAAGTTGGGGTACGATTTGTATTCTGGAAACTGGTAAACCTAGGTACAGGCATGCTTCATAGTAAATCCTTCATTACACAGCAATTCTTTAAGGTTTTATATCTAAGGCACCAACTTTGTTAAATTTACATTTGCGAGTGTTGCCACCTGGTCAGATAGGCCAACACAGAGATGACCAAAACAAATTTAGGCTCAGGACTTTGCGTTCATTTGGGACATAGGAAAAAATGGCTAGAAGCGATAAAGACTAAAGCAGCCTGCATAAAAGGAGGTTAAGTACTTAGTGAGGCTGTAGCAATTCTTCCAGGACCTCTATTATCATTTCCTAAATTGGTGCTTTGGTAAATGTGAAGGTCAGAGTTATTAAGTTGTACACTGCTGGTCTGGAAAAAAAATTTCCTAAGGGTACAGCAAATTTTGTACTAATGCAACAGAGAAGTACAATCTCAAGCTTACGACAAAAAAATAAATAAAAATCCTCCTAAAGCATGCAGAAAAAAAAAATAAGGACTGAAGTCTTCACAATGAACTAGAAAGAGAACTGAATTCTAGATCTAGATCTGTGTCTACCACTTGTCAAAGTCTTGGACAAATATTTTTTCCTCTCTAGGATTTGATATCTCCATCGAAACATCTGGAAATTGAGTGAATAAAACACGTCAAGTTTTTTTTTTTTTCACTCTAACAGTTGCTCACCCAAAGTGATGTGGGTTCTCCTGCTTAGATTGAACACAGCCTCTTTGCTTTACAAAACCTCTGAGCCCAGCCATCAACGACTGTAGCAGCCCCAGAATCAGAAGTCTCCTGGGTGTCCGTATGGGAAACAAAACATGCCTCAGAGAAAGAAGATGGTGTTGGCCACAGAGTCTGATCACAACGACGCCGAAGAGAGAGAGAACACGGCCTTGCCTGTGAGCCCCACGGAAGCTCAGGTCGAAGGCGGGCCGGCGAGAAGAGTGCAGGAAGCCCCTCATGGATATTTAAGAATTACAGTCCCCTGCTGGGACCAGAACTAAACTAATGATGGAGCATATTCAGATGTGTTAGAGTGATGGGGTCTCTTCCAGGCTGGTTCCTGTGCCCTTTCTTTTCCTTTTTTTCTTTTATTTCAGCATATTATGGGGGTACAAATGCTAAAATTATGTATATTTCCCTTGGCCCCCCTCACCCCTCGAGTCAGAGCTTCAAGTGCGCCCATCCTCCAGTTGGTGCGCTCATTATGTTTGTATACCCCGTCCCCTCCTTCCCCTCCCACCTGCCCGACACCGGATAGATGTCATTCCTCTGTGTCCACTTGGGTGCTGATCAGTTAATACCAATTTGCTGGTGAGTACATGTGGTGCTGGTTTTTCCATTCTTGGGATACTTCACTTGGTAGAATGGGTTCCAGCTCTAGCCAGGAAATACAAGAGGTGCCAGATCACCGTTGTTTCTTATAGCTGAGTAGTACTCCATGGTATGCATGTGCCACATTTTATTAATCCACTCATGGACTGATGGGCACTTGGGTTGTTTCCATAGCCTTGCAATTGGGAATTGTGCCGCTATAAATATCTGAGTGCAGATGTCTTTTGTGTCATGACCCCCCTGAGTTTCTGAGAACTTCCTTCCTGGACGGCACAGTCTGTGTCAAGCTTATCTTAGGCTTTCACTACCTTGGCCTTGGACCCTACCATTTCTTTAGGGATTTCTGGTTCTTTTTAATTGAAGAATGGTATTTATAAATAAGATCTGGGCACTAGATGTGCCCATTGCTACCAGGCTGCCCTCTCAGGAAACAGAGGTAGGTAATACAGGTATGCACACACACACCTGCACGTCTGTGTCTACCCATTTGCACTGACATTAAAGGCCATGAGTTAATGCTGATATCTTCTATTCTAATCCAACCCAGCAGGGTTCATCCTAGCTTCCTCTTATCCCTGACTAGTCATTTTCATCTCAGACAATGAAACACCTGGCTCTTATTACCCAAAATACGTGTAATTATTTTCTGAGTTCCATGATGTATCTAAACTAGCTTCAGAACTATGAAAAATATCCCACAAATTTATTAGCTGTTGTACCATATCTGGTGTATAGTTATTTTTGTCTTCTGCCTTTTATTATAGACTCAAATTCTATTTTTCAAAATCACTTACGTTCGTTTTCTTCTTCTTCACCCTCTTTGCTGTGGTTATGTCATTTATTTGTAATACAGTTAAGATTTTGTGACTGTCTCTGTTAGATTTTGTGTTACATATTAAGGTCCATTTAAATTATTTATTTAGTTTTTGGTATAAGAAGCATTAAGATGTTGTAAAGAGTCAAGTCTATACAAAAGTTACTTTCAGAGAACTGGCGTTGCCCTCTCATTCCTTCTACCTTATTTATCCAGTTTTTTCATCTCTTTTAGGTAACATATTAATTTATAGGACAGTTTTGCACTTCCAAAAATAAGTTTGTACCCTAAGATGCGGTGGGTGTGGCCACGTCACAGGCACTACTTCTATGAACTTGGGTACACACAGCAAATGCCCCATCCCATTTCTCTTCTTCCCTCTCACAGACACCAAGAGTTTGGCTTTGTGAAAAGACTTCTCTCTGTTTCAAGAAAAGGAGGCCAAACCATAAACCCCCAAAATACCTTCATTCATTCATTCATCCACTCATGCGTTCACTCATTCGTGGATTGATTCAAACTGAAGCCACATAACCAAGCAGGCTTTGACCCATATTCGAAGTGTCAACAGCCATGCGACTCTAACTCATGAAACGCAGAATGCCAACACTTAGGATTCCAAACGTGATGGATTGTTTGGGGACACTCACCGTTGAAGTTGACATTGCGGATATACTTCAGCAACTTCTTGCCTCCGGCTTGCTCCATCTCTGGGCAGACGCCCCGGTAGTCAGCACAGAGATCCTTGTTCATGTGGTGGAGGGCGTGAGCCATGGCGTAGACAGCGTCAATCACAAACTGAACTTTACCTTCCTGCTCGTAGTTGGAATCCTTCCCAATTCTCTCCTGCCCTGCACATGAAAACAAGAAACAGACAAAAACTGGTGTTGAGTGGAATGCCTACGTTTGCATTTATGTTCAGTTACACTCAAAGAAAACAGTGCTTGAAGGCTCTGCCACGGCAACCCACATCTGGCTGACAATGATAGCTTGTCCTCACCGATTTTGGCATTTTACTTTGGAGCATGGTACACTGATCTGAGGTATTGGATCAACTTAAGAAGCAGAACTCTAAACAGTCACAATGATAGATTTCTTGTAATAAGCCAACACACTACTCAAAAGATAATCCCGTAGAATCAAAGGGTCTTTGAGATGAGAAGCTGGGTTGCCACATCCAAATGTCCAAAGCTCGCTTACTCCAGAAAGGCCCAAAGGAAAATGATTAAAACAAAACAAAACAAAACAAAAACACCCTAAATTCTACTCCTGACATTGTTATTTCCTACATGCCCACTCGACCTCCTATGCTGCCTGTCTAAATTGTTGGTATTACTGGAGATTCAGATACTTTAGCTGGAAACCCTGGTGTCGTTTTTCATTCTTTTTCTCAATCCTCGCTCTCCCATGCATAAGTCTAAACAATAGCAGAGTTCTATCAGTTGTACCTGTGAAATGCCGAACAGTTTCAAACACTCTGCCCATGGCCTATTTATGCCTTTCTCATCTCCATCAGCATGCAGTGTTTGATGCCTCCCTCAGTCCATTCCTTCTCCCACGTTCATCTTTGCAAATACGGAGCCCATCACCCCAGCCCCAAGCTCAGAACCTTCAATGGCTCTCCACAGCCTGCACAACAAAATCCAGTGGGTGCTCGCCCTTTTGCCCCTATCTGTCCCATAAAGATAATAAATGATGATAATTAAGCACCCACACCGAGTTGGAAGATTCGGATACAGAATTTTCATGTCATCCTCGCTTAGCGAGGTAAATATTTCCTGTCCTCATCAGACTGATGGAAATGCTGAGCCTTACAGAGATTAAATCACTTTCCCAAGATCATTTACAGGCAGAGCAATAAGGACAGCTCAGGCTTGGCAGAACCCAAACCCACATTCTTCTCCGTGACACTGGACCTGCCCACCCTTCCCTATGTCTTTTTTCTGTTTTTATTCTGTTGTTTTTGTAATGCCGTCTTTTCTCGAGTTGTTTACCTTGCATGGGGTTGTCCTTCCTCTTTGCTTTCACCCAGCATGACTTAATTCTCATTTGAGGGCACAACCCAAAGGTTTCCTACACCAAGTCCCTCAGTCACAATTAAACATTTCCATAAAACATTTCAAACCTCTAAGACGGCATCGCTGGCAGCACTATATTTTAAATGCTCTGCCAGTTGGTGTCTCAGACAATTTTCTTTCTTAATTTTTTTGTTACCCTTAGATCTCCAGCACTGAACACAGCATTTAGTATCTAGTGGATATTAAACAACATTTGTTGTATTAAATTATGCATTCACTAAGTACGCAACGCCAGCAGCTCTCTATAGACCTCTCGTGCCTCTATGAAGAATAATTACACACAGATTGCATTTCACTTCCACAGTGATATCTTCCAAATTGTTTTCGATGGCACATTCGTGTAGTAAAGAAACAACGGGAATTCTACTTACGGTGCCAACCCCTTGTGCAAAATACGCAAAGGGTTCCTGAGAGCCCCACAGTGTTACAAAGTTTTAGGTTTCTTTACCGAGCGACCTTTTCAGAGTACTCAACATTATAACAGAAAACAGAATCTCCAAGAGGGAAATTCAGAATTCCCCAAATCTACCTGAATTTTAACTTTCCCTCCTCAGAGCACACACATGAATGGCTCACATGCCAGAGACTTCTGTGGTTTTATAAGTATCTCATTGAAATATACCAATCAACCTTAGGCTCACTGCATGCCACTGTATCTAGGGTTTTTCAGTGTGTGTACAGTAGAATCTTCTACTTAATTCAATCCTTTGCACTGAGAATTTTTTTAAAGAAAATTTCATCATGAATCCATATTGCTACTTTCCATTCAAATTCAGGACTACGGGTTTTTACTCAACTTTGACTCTCTTAATATCTCTGCCTTCTTTCGCTCATGAGGAAAATGCTGGTTCTTAGTAATACTGTTGTAATTATTCATTTTGTGACATACTATAGAGAAAACATTCTTAAAATAATAATCATGTCAAACAAATAGTGTAAAAAGCATAGAATGGCCTCATACATTGCGTATGTGTGTTTTTCAATCTTTGCCAGGGTATTTTGGGGATGTATTTTGAAAAATGGGAATGCTTTGTTAATGGGTAAATTCACACTTACTGGCAAATCCCTCTCTAAAGGAGTTTGCACCATTTTACTGTCCTGCCAACAATGGATGAGAATGTTTGTTTCCCTACAACTGCACCAAGAGAGTGTGTTGTCAACCTTGAATTCGCATCAATCAGATAGATGAGAAATGCTATTATGGTGATGTCTTTTGTTCACATTTTTCTTATTATGGCAGAAATTGAACTTCTTTGCATAGAAAAAGATGGAAGTTATTTTTCATTTTCTGTAAACTGTTCATAATCCAGCCACTTTTTACAAAAATGGTTTTGGCCATTTCCTTTTCCATTTTAAAAGCTCTTTATTAATTAGATGCATTAACTCTTTAAAGAACAAGTTGCACATCTTTTCCCCAGCTTGTCATTATTCTTTTACTATCTTTAGGCCATTTTGCCAAATAAAATTTTATTCATTTACTTTTTTATGACAAAATGTATCCATCTCTTCTTTATTACTTCTGGATTTTGAATCATGGTTAGAAAAAATGTTTCTCCACTTTAAGGATATAGAAGATCCCATCTATGTTTTCTTCTAGTACTTGTGTAATTTTACTTTTTAAAGTGAAATATTTGATCTGCTTGGAATATATTTTGGTGTACAGCATGAGGAATGAGCCAAAATTTTATGTTTTTTCATATAGTGATACAGTTGTCGTATTACATATGTAATAATTCATCCTTTCTCACTGACTTGGGGTGCTGCCTTTTACTATGTACTAAATACCCACATGTAATTGAGTCTACTTCAGGATTTTAAAATTCTGTGATTGATTATATTTACGCATCAATATCAGTTTCAAGTAGAAAGGCTTTGTAGCATATTTTAATAACTGGGAGAGTGAGCCCCTCTCTTGCCATAAGTACTGATCTTTTTTAGATTTTATTGGTTAATTTTATTTTCTTAAATGAACCTACCTTAGTGACCATTGTATGACTCCAGAAAAAGCTAAACAAACAACTTGATGGGCTATTTTTTGGGTTTCTGTTGCATTTAAAGATAAACTTACCTAGAATAGAAATCTTGATTAGGTTGAATCTTCCTGTGTCTTTTCAATTGCTCAAGTCTACTTTTGCTTCCTCTAATAAATGGTGCTTAAAGTTTTTCTCATTCAGGTTTTGAGTGTTTTTTGCAAAGTTAGCTAAGGTATTTCATTTATTTTTGCTATTATGAATATAAACATGGTGTTCTTTTTCATGTTTCTTCTCACTGGTGTTTGGTTGTGTATATAAAAGCTATTTTTTGTCATGTTGTGGCTGCTTTATTATTTTCCAACTTTCTATTATGAAAAATTTTAAACATAAAGCAAGGTTAAAAAAGAACTTTACAGTGAACCCAACAACTGGATTCTAACATTATCATTTCACTATATTTATTTTATAAGCCTGTTCATTTTTAATACTAATTTTATAACCTACTTCTTTATAAATGTCCTTATTTTTTATAGTACTTAGAAAAGGCAATCTTGGAGGCATTATGACTATTATAAAATATATACTATGAAATACATTCAGACTAATAATTCAGGAGACCAGTTTCGAGATTACATTAATAGAGACAATCACCCTGGAAAGAATGCCATGAAAAACAATTGTGCTATTTTATTTTATTTATTTATTTTTGAGACAGACTCTCACTTTGATGCCCAGACTAGAGTGCAGTGGCACGATTATAGCTCACTGCAGCCTCCAACTCCTGGGCTCAAACAATCCTCAGCCTCCAAAGTTGCTGAGACTACAGGCATGTGCCACCACAACTGGTTAATTTTTAAAATTTTTTTTTTGCAGAGATGGGGGTCACGCTGTGTTGCTTAGGCTGGTCTCAAAACTCCTGGCCTCAACAATCTTCCCACCCGTGTCTTCCAAAGCGCTAAGATTATAGGCGCGACTTACCATGCCTAGCCTGTTGCAATATTTTAAATAAGGAAATATTTTATGATTTGTGAAACATTGCAGGTTTTGATCCCTCTCTTGGAGAGTCGCCAGGTATGCTAACATATCATATTTATGGCTCTGAGAAGACTTACGGGTTAAATTTGTCTTTGGTGCTAATAGGACTTGGAAACACAGACTTCTATGGAGAGAATCATAAGTGGCAAGTTCGTTACAAAAAAGCACCTTAAATTTTATTTTCCCTGGTGTGGCAGACACAATCATTTGCCATCTTCAGAGTATGTGTCTATTTATATACCACTCTCGCTCCTCTTTCCTGAAATGAAATCTGATTCTGTTTAGACACTGGCAGTCAGCAAAGAGAGTGAGGATTTCTGGACCTTTCCCGATCCGCACTGAGTGGATCCTGACTTGTCTGAACCAATCCAATTTCCTCTGCGAGGACTGGGTTAGCCACAGGCATGGGAAACAAGTCTAGCCAATGAGATGTAAGGAAAGAATTTGCGGGGCAACACCTGAGAAACTGCACTTGCTCTTACAAAGAGATTGGTCGATTGCAAAGTCCCTCCACTCCCCCCACCTCCACACGCACCCTGAAATTGCCCCAGTCATTCTGTTATCCCCAAGGAAATCACACAGTGTTGAAGGATGGCAACAGAACACACACGTGGTAGAGACACGAAAATGCAACTCGAGCTGGGAGTTAGCCGAGCCTGAAATCACCCTACGTTGTTTTTTCCATGTGTCATATTAAATGCGTTAGTCACTCACTAAAGCTTGATACTCAATGTTTCCCTGGTTTATTTAACCGGAAAATACACT